CAGTTGAGATAACAGGGGAAATGAAGGCCTAGAAGTTCCTTAGAAAATGTCTCATGGGATAACAAACATAAACAGCCACAAAATAGCCGTGGATAGAAAACTTTATCCTATAGAATTCTTGAAATGGGCATGTGTGATCTCCAATTGAATCTGAATCCGGGCATCAAAAGATAGGAGCAGGTTAGAGAGACTTTCAAACTCAGTACAGATTACAGGACCACAACTAATCAAACGTATCGAAGGGGACAAGATGAAGACATTAATATTCTTTGACCCATATTGCAAAACCAGTATCACTAAGCATGATTCATATCCCTTCAAGAATGATGAACGTTCTAGGACACAGCATGATTTAAGTAGTCCTTCTCGGCACCACCAAAGCAGATACCCTCATCAGATCAGGAATTCTTGAAATGGGCCCCATATAACTTTGACTTCTGCATTAAGACAGGCTTACCAGGTAAGAAGTGGTATGAAATTTGATTTTTAACACAGGTGAGAATTAATGCACATGGAAAAAAAGTGGCACTACTTGCCCAGCTTCTCTGAGCACATTTATCGGCTCTCCAGCAAGTCCCTGAAAGAAATTTATATCACTACTTGAAATAAAGTTTCCGAGCCACATAAAATTATAAAGTGAACCGCTTGGCAAGATAGAAGGTGTAGATTATCATTTGAATCTGGAACTCAGAAGAAGAGGTCCTTCTAAAAAAAATTTGAATACCTTGTTTTGCTGCATGAAGAACGCGTGAGCAACACCCTTCCGACTAGCCCCTTCCAGTCCTCCCAATCCGGTGGACATAGTCCTCTGTAGTTAGAGGGAAACTATAATTGATCACTACTTCAACATCAGGAATATCTAATCCTCGAGCAGCCACATCTGTCGCTACCTGCAATACATGTTGTTAGAAAGAAGTCTATGCTATCATGTGGTTTGAAAGATGAAGTATCATTATGCTGGACCATATCTCTAATTTATGAATGAAAATCCAATTTTAGCTTGGCACAGACACTAATAATCATCCAGCACATCATGTAAGACTTAGAAGTTAAAAGTTAAGCAACCACAAAGGTAAAGAGAACACCTATAATTTGCTATGGCTTACCATCAATGGACAGCTTCCCTTCTTGAACAGTGATAACGCCTTAGTACGCTCATGTTGTGCTTTGCGACCATGTATAGCAACAGCATTCCAACCGCTAGAAAAACAGTAAAAGAAGTAGAGTAATATAAGGAAATAAACAACCTATTACAATGGAAAACAACTCATCAATTTTCTTTAGCATAGTAAATTCAAAGTGGTCCTTAATTTATCTTCGTAACTGATAAATGGCATTGCAGAGACTATTTGTTTAACATCAAGAATATGGTACAAGGATGTAATTACCCTCGTTGCAGCATATTTTCAACACGATCAGCTTCTGCATGGTACAAGACAAATACCA